AAGTGTCAATTTGATATTTTATTTGTATAAGTGTGAAAAAAAAACAATAGAAGGAAATTGGAATTAAAGAAATTATTGAAGGACTAAATTGAAAAGGATGAAAAGTTTAGAGGGTCAAATGGTAAATAAGAAAAATTTCAAAGACTTATGTGCAATTTCAAATTTTGAAGTTAAATGGAAATTAACTAGCTAAAGAAAATTAGATTATATGGAAGGACGGAATATGCATGTAACAAGTGCTATTACATGCAAAGATATGCATGCAAGGATGTACTTGTAGTGGGGAACATGTGGGATTCCCACCATGTGACAAACAGAAAGGCATGAGACAAAATGAATAAAATAACACATGTATGTGGATTTTTAAATTAAAAGAATGCACAGAGGATTTATACATGATGGACACTTGGTGGCAATTAGACTAAAAGAAAAGAAATATATTTGCATGTAATGTCATTGGCCAAGGAGGAGGTCAAATGGAAATTAAGGTGGGAAAGTTGCATGAAAGACCATTGGGTACAAATAAGGTAGAATTAAGCAGAAATAAATTAAAGAATGAATATGGATAAGTAAATGAGGATTTTTAACTAATGTGGAAGAAAGGAAATTGGTGCATGAAAACCCATTGGTTGGCAAAATGGCCAAATGAAAATAAAAGGTGAATGTGTGAATGTATTGTGATTGGTTAAATGGGTAGCCATATAAATACCAAGATTCAAGAGTAAAAAAGAAAAGGGAATTGGCCCTGGTTAGACTTGAGAGAGTCAGCCATTGAGAGAGGAAAAGAAAGAAAGAAGAAGTTGTTTTGAGAAGCTCCACCCAAGAGGAGGAAAGTGGGGAAAGCTCGAGTTGTGAAGATTCAAGAGAAACCGTGAGGTTTCCTTTCTTTATCTTGTAGAGATTTGATATTTTACCACCCAAAGAGTCTGCAACATTCAAGAGAGAAACCGCAGAGTGTGTAACGATCGTTCCTCGATCGCTACTGGTGTTCGAGTCTCGTAAGTGAACCCGT